TTCTAGAACATGGCCATATAGCCTGAAAAACCTACAACAACCCAATGATTCCAGCCATGGAAGCCTTCAACAATACAGTTGGTCATGGGGGTTCTGTGTGGGACGCTGGCCCAGTTCTATCGTTGGTGGGGTTCAGAATGCTCTTTGATTGTAGGTGAACTATAAATCCCAGCAACTACAACTCCCAAATGTCAAGGTCTATTCTCCCCAAACTCCAGCAGTGTTCACATTTGGATATATTGGGTATTTGTGCCAAGTTTGGTCCAGATCCATCATTGTTTGAATCCACAGTGCATCCCAAATGTAAGTGAACTACAACTCCAAAACTCAAGGTCAATGCCCACCAGACCCTTCCAGTATTTCCTCTTGGTCATGGGAGTCCTGTGTGCCAAGTTTGGTTCAATTCCATTGTTGGTGGAGTTCAGAATGCTCTTTGATTGTAGGTGAACTATGAATCCCAGCAACTACAACTCCCAAATAACAAAATCAATCCCCTCCAACCCCACCAGTATTCAAATTTGGGCATATTGGGTATTTGTTCTAAATTTGGTCCAGTGAATGAAAATACACCCTGCATATCGGATATTTACATTACGATTCATATCAGGAGCAAAATGACAGTTATGAAGTAGCAACGAAAATAATTTTATGGTTGGGGGTCAGCACCACATGAGGAACTGTATCAAGGTGTCGCAGCATTAGGAAGGTTAAGAACCCCTGGTCTATGCTGACCATATAATGCAGTTCCACTCTGCATTGCATGGCAATGTAGATGCAGCCTGACTCACAGTGTTCCTAAAGGTGTTCTTCTCAAACAGGACTTGATCGTAGTCGCACTTTGCCCTTTATTTATTGATTTACTCTATTTATATACCGTCCCTTTCATCCCGCAGGCAACTTGGGATGGTTCATAGTTGGTGCCAAGACCATAAAATACAATATCAATGCAATACAAACAATCGGATAATAAAACCATTACTAAATCAATAAAAACATAAACATTAGAATCTCCTATTAAAAACACTGTCCAACCACATCATCCAACCATTCCATTTTCCTATGTCTGTTACACTGTACTTGGAAATGCCTGCTCAAAGAGCCAAGCCTTGACTCTCTTTCAAAGTATTAAAAGGGAGGGGGCCAATCTGATATCCTTAGGGAGGGCCTCCATAGCCGAGGGGCCACCACTGAGAAGGTCCTGTCTCTCTTCCCTGCCAGCCATACTTGTGGTGAAGGTGGGACCAAGAGCAGGACCTCCCCAGATGATCTTAAGGTCCTTGGGTTTCCTTGTGGATTCATAGGTGGCTGTGGAGCCTTATTCTTGACCTGCATCTTCTCCCACAGTGAGGGCATCGGTTTCCAGGTGGAAGGCGGTCCTGGTCGGGGTTGGCTTGATGTGCCTTCCTCTTGGCATGTTTCTCTCTTTCCCCCTCCATTCGTGCCTCTTCAAATTCTACAGCACTGCTGGTCACAGCTGACCTCCAGCTGGAGCGCTCAAGGGCCAGGGCTTCTCAGTTCTGTGGTGTCTATGCCAGAGTTTTTAAGGTTGGCTTTGAGCTCATCTTTACATTTCTTTTCCTGTCTACCAACATCCCGTTTTCCGTTCTTGAGTTCGGAGTAGGGTAACTGCTTTGGGAGATGGTGTCAGGCATCCAGACAACGTGGCCAGTCCAGTGGAGTTGATGGCAGAGGACCATCACTTCAGTGCTGGTGGTCATTGCTTCTTCCAGCACGCTGATGTTTGTCCTCTCTTCCCAAGAGATTTGCAGGATTTTCCGGAGGCAGCGCTGATGGAATCGTTCCAGGAGTTGCATGTGACGTCTGTAGACAGTCCACGTTTCGCAGGCATAGAGCAGGGTTGGGAGGGGAATAGCTTTATAGACAAGCACCTTGGTATCCCTACGGACCGAGAGCAGGGCCTCTCTAGACAATCTTAAACTCCTGGAGGGACTGAGATGTTCCTGAGATGCCTTCCACATGAGAAGAGCAGCCTGGCTAGTCTTTGGCTCCACAACTAGATCCAATCATAGAACCTTACAATTGCAAGATCTCTGGGGGTGACTGTGATCTACAAATCTACAAATGGCTGGAAATCAGAGTACAAGAGAAGATCAAAATAACTGTTACCAAAAATATATATATCTCAGCATGAAACCCTGTGTGTTTCATCTTCTTGGATGGGCGGGGGACATAATAATAGCCCAGCCCAAGCCTATCATCTGCAGCCTATCCCTTTCCAGATTATGATTAAGAACTTAATTGCACTTTTACAGTCTAATCGCGCCAGTCAGCTGCCATTTAATCACCACACAATAACGGCCTTCTTAATGGCATTAGGGGCCATTATTACTATAATCAGCCTATACAAGCTTTGCATCTCTTACATCTGCCAGCACTCAGAGAGCGGCTCAGGCTGGGCAAAGGCGGCACGAAGAGAGCACAAAGAGAGCCAGGCAAGGAGAAGGCAGGCATCCTCGCCAGTTGCTAAAGAGCTCGGGAGGAACAGGTTGCCATTGCCGTGCAGTGGACATCCCTCCTGATGAATCCACGTTTGGAAGAAGGGACGTGGAGAGACAGGGTGCGCACTTCATAAGGAATCAAACAAGCAAAGCATGCAGTGGAAGAGCGGGCTCTTGTTATGTTTCTCCTTCAAGCAATAAATTGTGGTTGCAAATGAATTTGTATGACTAGAGGCAAAAGCTAGAGAGCTCTGTGTTTCTGGAAATATCTAATAGCTTTCCTAGGGGGGAATGAGCCCAAATCATCCCCCAGATTCGTCACTCCAATCAGAGCTAGCAAACCTGGGAAACCAATTTGATGAACTATATATAATAGAAAACATTTATAATTAACTAGCCACCCCCTGCCACGCGTTGCTGTGGCCCACCTGGGGGTTCTGTGTGGGAGGTTTGGCCCAATTCTATCGTTGGTGGGGTTCAGAATGCTCTGTGATTGGAGTGACAAATGCAAGATACTCCACTTTGGCAGAAAAAATGAAATGCAAAGATACAGAATGGGGGACGCCTGGCTCGAGAGCAGTACGTGTGAAAAAGACCTTGGAGTCCTCGTGGACAACAAGTTAAACATGAGCCAACAATGTGATGTGGCGGCAAAAAAAGCCAATGGGATTTTGGCCTGCATCAATAGGAGCATAGTGTCTAGATCTAGGGAAGTAATGCTACCCCTCTATTCTGCTTTGGTTAGACCACACCTGGAATATTGTGTCCAATTCTGGGCACCACAATTCAAGCGAGATATTGACAAGCTGGAATGTGTCCAGAGGAGGGCGACTAAAATGATCAAGGGTCTGGAGAACAAGCCCTATGAGGAGCGGCTTAGGGAACTGGGCATGTTTAGCCTGAAGAAGAGAAGGCTGAGAGGAGATATGATAGCCATGTATAAATATGTGAGAGGAAGCCACAGGGAGGAGGGAGGGAGCAAGCTTGTTTTCTGCTTCCTGGAGACTAGGACGCAATGAAGGAATGGCTTCAAACTACAAGAGAGGAGATTCCATCTGAACATGAGGAAGAACTTCCTGACTGTGAGAGCCGTTCAGCAGTGGAACTCTCTGCCCCTGAGTGTGGTGGAGGCTCCTTCTTTGGAAGCTTTTAAGCAGAGGCTGGATGGCCATCTGTCAGGGGTGATTTGAATGCAATATTCCTGCTTCTTGGCAGAATGGGGATGGACTGGATGGCCCATGAGGTCTCTTCCAACTCTTTGATTCTATGATTCTATGATTCAGTTGAATATTTCAAAATATATACAAATATACAAAGAAAAGGAAGGCAGGGAAATGGTGGGAGGAGCCCTGTCATCGGAAGGGTCCTTTGAACCCCTCGTCACCAAGCAGAGTTTGAGAGTTGGTCATGGGGGTTCTGTGTGGGAAGTTTGGCCCAAGTCTATTGTTAGTGGAGTTCAGAATGCTCTGCGATTGTAGGTGAACTATAAATCCCAGCAACTATAACTCCCAAATGTCAAGATTCTATTTTCCCCAAACTCCACCAGTGTTCACATTTGGGCATATTCATGCCAAGTTTGATCCAGATCCATCATTGTTTGAGTCCACAGTGCTCTCTGGATGTAGGTGAACGACAAACCTCCAAAACTCAAGGTCAATGCCCACCAAACCCTTCCAGTATTTTCTGTTGGTCATGGGAGTTCTGTGTGCCAAGTTTGGTTCAATTCCATTGGGTGGAGTTCAGAATGCTCTTTGATTGGTAGGTGAACTGTAAATCCCAGCAACTACAACTCTCAAATGACAAAATCAATCCCCCCTCCCCCCCAAACCAGTATTCAAATTTGGGCGTATTGGGTATTTGTGCCAAATTTGGTCCAGTGAATGAAAATACATCTTGCATATCAGATATTTGCTTTACGATTCACAACAGTAGCAAAATTACAGTTACGAAGTAGTAACAGAAATAATATTATGGTTGGGGGTCACCACAACATGAGGAACTGGATTAAGGGGTCGTGGCATTAGGAAGATTGAGAAACGCTGCTCTAGAACCTTGCCCAAAAACGGAGATTGGGAATGGGCCAGTAGTTGTTTAATATTGAGTAGTCAAGGATGCTCAATGTATAGTCAGAATTAGGCTATGGCTGCTTCCAATGAGCCTAAAATGTAATTTCGGAGTTCTCTGCAAGTCCTCATACCTTTACATCTATTCTTCAGGCATTCCATACCTTCCCTTTAACCTTGCCAAGTGAGATGGTTGTAATGTTTTGAAAGATAACATCTGCAAAGCACTTTAAATCCTCAAGAATTGTGTGAGCGTGGGTGTTACAAAGTGATAGCTGAATGTTAATAAGCAACCTCACGATTAACAGAAGGAGGAGGGAGGGAGGGAGGGAGGGAGGTCAAAGCAACTCTCTGGGGAAAAGGTGTCGTACACTTACTTGTAATAGCAGATATCATAGCCCACCCGAATCCAGTGGGGTCTGCCCTGAAGAGCTTCCTTCACTGAGTACATGACCGGCTGCATGCCTAGAAACAAAGAAGGAGTTCAGAGAAGAATGAGAAAGGAGATGGGAAGGCAACCAAACAGCACATTTGGACAGTGAAAGAATTCATATGTTAACAACAACACGGGCACCTCCAAATTGTCCCTCTCTAACCTCAGTTTTAATCTGCCCTCTTTTCTGGAGCTATAACGCAAGCTAAGCCTGGCTCTGCTGACCCTTTAATAGGAAAATACAGAATGTTTTTCTCTTATATTTTTTCAAAAGGTGGACGAAATACTTCCAAGGAATATCGGGTGCTGTGTGCTATATTTCAGAAGAAGGAACTGGCAAGGAACTGAGTATTAACTGTCTTTTAAAAAACCTATGAAACTCATTGTGTTGTCATAAGACAATACGTAGCTCCGAAGCAGGAGTTACAATTGCTGGACTAATAATAATAATAATAATAATAATAATAATAATAATAATAATAATAACACTTTTTTTGTACCCCGCCACCATCTCCCCAAGGGACTCAGTGCGGCTTACATGAGGCCGAGCCCATAGAACAACAATACAAGCAATAATAACAACAATACAAGCAATTAAAATAAAGAAACATGGACAATAAGATATGCAACATTAACAATAAGACAACACACAATTAAAACTGTGGGAAGGCCAACTGTAAAATTAAAATTGAAAATAATGCTGGAGCATGGGCAAAAAGGTGGTAGTGGCATTTGTGGAAGGGCATACAAACAGACCTAAAGAAATGTAAAGTGCTTTGGAGGACAAAGTGCTGTGGGATCATTATTCTGGGCAGGCACACTGGAACAACCACATCTTCAAGCTCCTCCTAAGACTGCCAGAGTTGGGGCATGCCTGATATCCTTAGGAAGTGAGTTCCAGAGTCGAGGGGCCACCACCAAAAAGGCCCTCTCTCTCGTCCCCACCAATTGCACTTGCGATGCAAGTGGGAGCGTAAGCAGGGCCTCTCCAGATGATCGAAGAGATCGTGTGGGTTTGTATACAGAGATGCGGTCACGCAGGTAAGCGGGTCCCAAACCATTCAGAGCTTTGTAGGTAAGAACCTGCACCTTGAATTGGGTCTGGAAAATGACTGGCAGCCAGTGGAGCTCCTTGGACTAAACATTAACAATGTTAGATATGCAGATGATACCACTTTGATGGCTGAAAGCGAAGAGGAGCTGAGGATCCTTCTTTCATCCAAAGTGAAAGGAGAAAGTGCAAAAGCTGGATTGCAGTTAAAAAACAAAACAAAATGGCAACCAGGCTGATTGATAACTGGCAAATAGAGGGAGAAAACATGGGGTAGTGGCAGACTTTGTGTTTCTAGGCACGAAAATTACTGCAGATGCAGACTGCTGCCAGGAAATCAGAAGACGTTTATTTATTGGAAGAAAGCAATGACCAATCTTGATAAAATAGTGAAGAGTAGAGACACCGCACTGGTAACAAAGATTCACATAGTTAGAGCAATGATATTCCCCGTAGTAACCTAAGGATGTCAGAGCTGGACCAGAAGGAAGGCTGAGCGAAGGGAGAGAGGCGCTTTTGAACCGTGGTGTTGGAGGAAAATTCTGAGAGCGCCTTGGATTGCAAGAAGATCAAACCAGTCCAAATTCCAAGAAATAAAGCCCGACTAAAGCTCACTGGAGGGAAGGAGACTAGAGGGAAAGTGGAAGTCCTTTGGCCACATCATGTGAAGACAGGAAAGCTTGGAGAAGAGAATGATGCTGGGGAGAATGGAAGGAAAAGGGAAGAGGGCCCGACCAAGGGCAAGATGGATGGATGGCATCCTTGAAGTGACTGGCTTGACCTTGAAGGAGCTGGGGCTGGCCACGGCCGACAGGGAACTCTGGCGTGGGCTGGGCCATGAAGTCACGAAGCATTGGAAGCAACTGAACAAATAAACAACAACAAGCTTTGAAAGCACATGAACACACATTTTCAAGAAAATGGCCATGAGAGCATCATCCTACCATTGCAACATTATGAATGGCTTCAGCATGTCATTGCAGACATTCATCTATGTAATGTTCGTTTGTGGGATGAACAGAACTCAAAAACCACTGGACGAATTGACACCAAATTTGGACACAAGACACCTAACCACCCAATGTATGTCCTTCACTCAAAAAAATGATTTTGTCATTTGGGAGTTGTAGTTGCTGGGATTTATAGTTCTGGGATTTATAGTTCATTACAGAGCATTCTGAACCCACCAATGATAGAATTGGGCCAAACCTCCCACACAGAACCTCCATGTGGGCCACAGCAACACATGGCAGGGGATGGCTAGTTAACAATATTTTTTTTGCTCTGCCACACCTCCATATTTTTTATCCTCCATGCTTTCAGCTTTTTCCCTGGCAACTGGGAGGTGAAAGGAACACAACGGAAGTGCAGGTTCCATATTCAAAATTCCCTTCTTTGTAACAAAACTACAATTTCAATATGTTGTGAGCCCAAATTGCCATCCAGTGTAAAAAAAGGGGGGGAGGGGGCTTTACCATTTCAAAATATTCTTTATTTCAAAGTTTCCATCAAAGAATCATGAAGAAACTTCTGGCAGATTAAAGCAAGTTTCAAGGCAAAGCACTGCGCTGCTCTACTGACAAATATTACAAGTGAGAGACTTCCTTTGATGGCTCAGAAGAGAGACCGAGGTGAAGCAGCCAGGCACACGCCAGGAACATGAAAGCCATCCGTGATCCCTTCCAGAACCAGCCTCTTCCTCCAGGAAAACAGGCAAGGAGTGGATATAAGACTTCAGTACTGAAAGATCGCACAGGTTTTTCTCTCATTCCAGCTTCCTTTCTCCAACCTTATACCTTTCCATCCAGAATAAAATCAAAATTGTTAAAATGCTGGACCACTCTCACAACCACCATGTCAGGCTACACAGAGAAGCCATTGAAATACACAAGAAGCAGGTGGACAATTTCAACAGAAAGGAGGAAACCATGAAGATGAACAAAATCTGGCTACCAGTATTAAAAAACTCTAAAATTACAACAGCAAAACAACAGAGAGGAAACAATCAGGGACAGCTAATCACCTCTCAATAAAAGATTGCTCCAGGCACTGCCAGCCAATCAAATGCTAACCGAGGTGGTCAGTTGAAACATTCCCACCTAGCTCCAGCAGACAAGAGTCCTTTGTCCCACCCTGGTCATCATTCCACAGATATATAAACCCTTTTCCCTAGTTCCAACAGACCTCACTCCCTCTGAGGATGCTTGCCATAGATGCAGGCGAAACGTCAGGAGAGAATGCCTCTAGAACATGGCCACACAGCCCGAAAAAACCTACAACAACCCAATGTTTTTTGTGTTGCATTATCATATGCAGAATCTTGATTGTGTCATAACAGCAACAACTTTACAATGCATTCAGCATTAAGAGTAGAAGTACTTTTAAAGAAGACTGTTTGTTTTTAACTCTTGAGAGCATGATGTAAAGGCAAATATATTTTAAGGGAGAGTATAGGCTTTTGGGCAACAAAAAGGAACACTTCTGAAACTCTGCTATATGTGTGTGTGTGTTTGTGCACTGGCATATCTTTGTCCCTAACAGTTCAAAGACATACCTAGGTGCATCAGTTTAACAGCTGAGAAATCTAATTGCCTTGCACGAATGGCATTTTTACCAAGAGGATATGGCATCATTTTTCAAAAGGTTGTGACTTCCAACAAGGCCATGCCTTTCCAAAGATGATAAAATTTCCAAAAGGTTATGGAGATTGATTGCCATTTTCCAAAAAATCAGCCCCAAAAGGCAGAAGAAATGTATTTATTTATTTACTTTGTTTAATATCCCGCCTTCTCTCCCGCATTGAGAAGAAAATTGCAATTGCAATTAAAGCTTGTTGACCGGATAAAACATGCACGAAAAGCAGGAGGAGAACGAAGCCGGAAGAGCAAATTGTCTTGGAACTGTTTTAAGGAAAGGTCTGCAGGTTTTCAGGCTAAACCAACCAGGCCCCATCTCCACTGGCCTTGGATTTTCTGGAAAGGGAAAGGCAATAAAAGCAGAGCAACAGAATTTGCTTCTTTGTGGAGCACACAAAGCCTCAAATCTCCATCTGGTGCATATTGATTTTGCTCATATTACCTTTAAAAGAACAATACTTATCAGTTGAGATTATATACATGACAATGAATCACCAGTTGTTCTTCTAAGTCAGTCAACAGGAGCCTTCATAGCTCATCCATCCGTATCTTCCATCCCAGCCACAAATAATTACACTATGTAACACGATTCTTGTTCCTGGACCATAAATGTCATTTCCTAAGTGGGTCCATCATAGAAACATGGAAAAAGTTTATTAAACAGCAAAAACTTTGTTGTTGTGGGACAAAATGCAGCACATTTTGCTATAGTTTTTCAATGAATATCTCATCAGGTTTCGACCAATTCAACCTAGTTTGAGACAGCCACAAAACAAAGTTTCCGGAGGAGAACAACTGCTTTCAAAGTAAGGATTGCACACTTAAACAGGAAATGACACTTTCAAACCAGGAACAGAAAATGTTCCACATTTTGTTTTTGCTGCTGTTTATTCGTTCAGTCGCTTCCGTCTCTTTGTGACCTCACGGACCAGCCCACACCAGAGCTCCCTGTCAGCCGTGGCCACCCCCATCTCCTTCAAAGTCAAGCCAGTCACTTCAAGGATGCCATCAATCCACCTTGCCCTCGGTTGGCCCCTCTTCCTTTTTCCTTCCATTTCCCCCAGCATTGTTGTCTTCTCCAAACTTTCCTGTCTTCCTGTTATGTGGCCAAAGTACTTCATCTTTTCCTCTAATATCCTTTCCTCCAGTGAGCAGTCAGGCTTTATTTTCTGGAATATGCAAAAGTGTCTCTCTCCCTTTGCTCAGCTTTCCTTGTGGTCCTGCTCCCACATCCATAGGTTGCTACGGGGAATACCATTGCTTTAACGATGTGGATCTTCATTGCCAGTATGATGGTACACAGTGTCATTTATCCAACTTCATAAATGGACCTTTCCCTTGCCAAGTTTACATTTCCATTCTCTTCTTTTGTGATGTTGTGAGCAAAAGAATGAAGAGAGAGATTTTGTAGATGGTTTACTCATCCTAGTGGATTTCAAAGCCATATGTGAGTAAGTGGGCAGTTCATGTGGCCTAGAAGTGAAAGGAAGATATACTACTATGGAACTGAGGGCCCCTCCAGACAGGCCCTTTATCCCAGATTATCTGGCAGTGTGGACTCATATAATCCAGTTTAAAGCAGAAAACCTGGGATCAGTTCCTGGGATGAAGGGCCTGTCTGGAAGGGCCCTGAGTGATGATGTGGAAAAGACTGGCTAATTTGTTGACCAGGAATAGGATGGGAAAGACAGAATCAAGCACCATATTGTATATTGTATAGGTCTGGGCTTTAGCACAGCAGGTTAACCGCCAGCTGCAGTATATCTTGCTAATCAGAAGGTTGGCAGTTTGAGTCAGGGTGAGCTCCTGGCCTTCAGCTCAGCTCCTGCCAACCTAGCAAATCGAAAACAGCAATTGTGAGTAGATAAACAGGTACCATTTTAAAAAGTGGGGAGGTATTTAGGCACCCATAAAGAAATGCCACAAAATGCTGGTGATTCAATCAAAAGGAGCCGCCGGCGGCGCAGTGGGTTAAACCCACTGAAGACTGACAGGTCTCAGGTTCGAATCCAGGGAGAGCACGGATGAGCTCCCTCTATCAGCTCCAGCTCCTCATGCAGGGACATAAGAGAAGCCTCCCACAAGGATGGTAAAACATCAAAACATCCTGGCGTCCCCTGTGCAACATCCTTACAGACAGCCAATTCACACCAGAAGCAACTTGCGGTTTCTCAAGTTGCTCCTGATATGAAAAAAAAATTCAGAAGGAGGATGTTTACGAACCAAAACTCTTTGACAGGGAAGAGGAAGCGACAGCACCCCCCGGGGAGCACAGCCTCCAAGATGCCGAAGATGGAGAAAACGCCTATATATACCTCTATCTATGTACAGTGGTATGTCTTGTCTTTGTGTAAATGGCATTGAATGTTTGCCGTATATGTGTTCTGTGATCCACTCTGAGTAACCTTCAGAGTGAGAAGGATGGGATATAAATACTGTAAATAAATAAATATAGACATGCACATAGATTTGGCATTTCAGACTGCATCCAACATCATGATCTAGAGATGGCCATACACAAACGCACGTTGCAAGTGTCTCTTACCAAAATTAAACTGGCTGTTAGGCTTGTCACAGTTGATGATGTTGAAGCGGTACGGAGTGGCAGTTTTCATGGCACTGACTTCAAAGTAGAACCATTGATGGTGCTGGGAGCAGTTGACATCGGGGTTAAGGATCAAGTCATACTCATACCTAGGCATCAAAGCACAGTAACACAACGTTAGCGAGATTCTAATCGCTAAGTGGTGGGAGCACATGGCCACAAGTCCCTGGTGAAGGTGGCAATGGGCACTAGGACTAAACAAGAATTTTAATCTCTTGTTAATTTTGAAATTAGAATTCACCAAAATCTAGAAATCTCATCATATTTGGGATAGCAAGAACTTGAAACTGGTAAGATTTAGATGTCGGGAAAACCCAAATCTAAACAAAGACTTTGAGTACTTTACTCTTGGAAGTAAATCCAGCCATGTTTATCCAGTCCTACTAGTACTGAATATGGTTGCCATGCTGGACATAGGACAATAGCCCTGTATCTTTTAGATTTAACAATAAATTGCCCAGATTTCTCCATGGAATCTAGGGAGTTGTAGTTTTTGGCGGAGAAGGCTGAAGACCTACTAAAATTCCCATGAATCTGTAGCATTGAACCATAGCAATTAAAGTGGTGCATGGTGGTGCAGCAGGTTAAACCATTGAGCTGCTGAACTTTCTGACTACAAGGTTGGCAATTCGAATCTGCAGAATGCAGTGAGCTCCTGCTGTTAGCCCCAGCTCCTGCCAATGTAGCAGTTCAAAAACATGCAAATGTGAGTAGACCAATACATATCATCCCGGTAGGAAGGTAAATGGCACTCCATGGAGTCATGCCGGCCACATGACCTAGGAGGTGTCTATGGACAACACAGGTGTCTATGGACAATGAAGATGAGCACCACCCCCAGAGCCAGAGATGAAGAGGAAGCCTTTACCGTTATCTGTGTTTAATTTTTTTGAGGCATTGAATGTTTGACTTGTGTCTGTATATGTCTACACGCTGGAATCTGCCCCGAGTCCCCTCGGGGAGATAGGGCGGAATACAAATAAAGTATTATCCTCCCCGCCTCGGGGGGAGAGTAGGCAATCACCACAATTCAAGAGAGATATTAAGCTGGAATGTGTCCAGAGGAGGGCGACTAAAATGATCAAGGGTCTGGCGAACAAGCCCTATGAGGAGCGGCTTAAGGAGCTGGGCATGTTTAGCCTGAAGAAGAGAAGGCTGAGAGGAGATATGATAGCCATGTATAAATATGTGAGAGGAAGCCACAGGGAGGAGGGTGCATATCAAGGGTCTGGAGAACAAGCCCTATGAGGAGCGGCTTAAGGAGCTGGGCATGTTTAGCCTGAAGAAGAGAAGGCTGAGAGGTGACATGATAGCCATGTATAAATATGTGAGAGGAAGTCACAGGGAGGAGGGGGCAAGCTTGTTTTCTGCTTCCCTGGAGACTAGGACGCGGAACAATGGCTTCAAACTACAAGAAAGGAGATTCCATCTGAACATTATGAAGAACTTCCTGACTGTGAGAGCCGTTCAGCAGTGGAACTCTCTGCCCCGGAGTGTGGTGGAGGCTCCTTCTTTGGAAGCTTTTAAACAGAGGCTGGATGGCCATCTGTCGGGGGTGCTTTGAATGCAATATTCCTGCTTCTTGGCAGAATGGGGTTGGACTGGATGATGGCCCAGGAGGTCTCTTCCAACTCTTTGATTCTATATTGTCTTGTAGGGTTTTTGTAAAAAAAAAATTGGGCTGTATTGGATCATACATCAGACACTTCCCAAGTGTCTAGGACTGTGTAATATATTGGCAAATAATGTGTACAGATCTGAGTAGGGTGGCCTTTTGCAGCTGACAGATGGTAATTTTGTCAGTGCTGATTGTGTTTAAGTGCAGGCCAAGGTCTCTAGGCACTGTGTGCCAATCACCATCATATTTGTTGTTGTTGTTGTTGTATTGTATTATTATTATTATTATTATTATTATTATTATTATTAATTATTATTATTTTAACTGTACCCGCCACGCATTGCTGCGGCCAACCTTCCCTCCCTCTCTTTCTCTCTCTTTTTCTTTCTCTCCTTCCTTCCCTCCATCTTTCCTTCCTTCTCTCTTTTTCTTTCCCTTCTTCTTTCTTCCTTCTCTACCTGTTTCTTTCCTCGCTTCCTTTGCTCTTTGATTCCATCCTTCCTTGTCTCTTTCATTCCTTCCCTCCCTCTTCCTCTTTCATTCCTTCTCTCCTTCCTTCCTTTCCTCTCTCTTTCCTTCCTTTCACTTTTTTATTTCCTTCTCTCCTTCCTTCCTTCTCTACGTTTCTCTCTTTCCTTCCTCCTCTCATTCCCTCCTTCTTTCCCTCTTTCTCTCCTTCCTTCTCTCCTTTCCTTCCTTCCTTCCCCCTTTCTGTGAATATGTGTTTTGTGTGTGCATATATATGTGTATCTATTTGTGTATATGAATGTTTGTTTATATATGTGGTTTTGCGTATGAGTTGTAATGCATTTTTTGTTTTTTGGCTTTAAAAGTCTCTTCCGCTGTGTTTTATGAGTGATGGTCACTCGTTGGCCTGATAGGTGTCTTGTGTCCAAATTTGGTGTCAATTTGCCCAGTGGTTTTTGAGTTATGTTAATCCCACAAACGAACATTACATTTTTATTTATATAGATTATTATATTTTATTATTATTATTATTATTATTATTATTATTATTATTATTCTGACACAAAAACACAGTATGTCACAGCAAACAATATATATATGCTGGATTTTGTATCACAAAATCACAAGTCGAACCCTTCCCAAGCGTCTAGGACTGTGTGATGTATTTTCGAATGATGCGCGCAGATCCAAGTCAGGTGGCCTTTTGCAGTTGACAGATTGTGATTTTGTCAATGTTTATTGTGTTTTCCTACTTCCAACAGACCTCACTACCTCTGAGGATGCTTGCCATAGATGCAGGCGAAACGTCAGGAGAAAATGCCTCTAGAACATGGCCATATAGCCCGGAAAAACCTACAACAACCCAATGATTCTGGCCATGAAAGTCTTCGACAATACAACAAACATGTAACTGTTTCTAACACTGGCACAACTTGTAGTTGTGGTCCCTGTGGGTTCATATTAATTACGGCTTAACAGTTTGGAAAATTGTGGCAATATTTTATGATTCATGTAATTAAACTCTAAGAAAATGTCACAACTGCTAGTTGCGTCTACGGTGATAATTTATATCATATCCATACATCAAAGGAACCTGGAGTAATGAATATGAATTATATACATCTATATAAATAAAAATGTAATGTTTTTTTTGTGGGATTAACAGAACTCAAAAACCACTGGACGAATTGACACCAAATTTGGACACAAGACACCTAACAACCCAATGTATGTTCTTCACTCAAAAAAACTGATTTTGTCATTTGGGAGTTGTAGTTGCTGGGATTTATAGTTCACCTACAATCAAAAGCATTCTGAACTCCACCAACGATGGAATTGAACCAAACTTGGCACACAGAACTCCCATGACCAAGAGAAAATACTGGAAGGGTTTGGTGGGCATTGACCTTGAGTTTTGGAGTTGTAGTTCACCTACATCCAGAGAGCACTGTGGACTCAAACAATGATGGATCTGGACCAAACTCTACACGAATACTCAATATGCCCAAATGTAACACTGGTGGAGTTTGGGGGGAATAGAATCTTGACATTTGGGAATTGTAGTTGCTGGGATTTATAGTTCACCTACAATCAAAGAGCATTCTGAACCCCACCAATGATAGAATTGGGCCAAACCTCCCACACAGAACCCCCATGTGGGCCACAGCAATGCGTGGCAGGGGACGGCTAGTGTGTGTGTGTGTATTGTTCTGTGCTCTCTTTGCTGCTGATCCTATTGAATAAAATACGCATGACAATACTATTCCTGCTGATATATATTCTCATTATTCCTGATATCTTTTTCTTAATGTAATTTTCTGATTGTGGGTTAGTTGTTGTTATTATAACCATCTTCTGTTTCCTTTTCATTCATGCTTTTAAGCTAATTTTATGGATGAATGATTAAGTAAGGGTAATTGAGTGATTTCTTTCTTTTGCCATTTCTGTCTCGGAAAAAAACAACACTAATTATGTTTAAAAATGAATCACTTTGTAGTGTGAAATATAAAACTACATAATCACAGCTAATATATTAATTTTTCAAAAGACAAAGATCTGTGGCTTTCTCATCTATAGTATCCTTGATCTGAGGCTTGGGAATCATTTTGGTGTTTGAACAGGACACAAAGTAAAACAAATGTTGTTTCTTCTCTGATCTCTTGCAGCCTACATACACAACAGATTGATCTTGGTTTTATAGCACATTAAGTTATTCAGGTTTCCTCCAAAGAATCCTTGGTGACATTAGTTGCCAGTGTTAGTGTCGCAGTCAGAGTGCTGGACTGGGAGATCGAATCGTTTTACGATTTTGAACTGGAACTCATTGGCTGATCTTGGGCAAAAGGGAACAAGAAAAATGATATATGCTCATCGATATATGCACAGTCACAAATTTAAACAACATTTATTGCGTGCCTTCAAGTATTCTCTCACTTACAGCACTCCCATCATGGGGTTTTCTTGGAGAGCTTTGTTCAGAGAGGGTTGACATTGCGTTCTTCGGAGGTTGTGCGACTGTGACGTGTCCAAGATTATCCAGCGGGTTTCCACGGTTGAACAGAGATGTGAATGCTGATTTCCCAAGGTCTTTGTCTAACACTCAAATCATTATTACACCATATTGGCAAAACAAGATTATTACCATTTAAGTTGAGGGTAGACAATTACGGCCTCCAGATGTTATCAGATTGACTCACCAGCACAGCTAATAATGATGGCTCGTGGGAGATTCAGTCCAGAAACATACTGCAAGACCACTGACACCAGCCTCGGGTTCTTAAAAATATTATTATTGTTGGGTTGTTGAAGGAAAACTGCAGTTTCTAGATGTCCTAGTCATCTGCAACACAGTTTACAGAAAACCTACACACATGGATAGATCAACAATGGAGCCATGCAGTTCACACTACACACACGGTTTTCTGAAAACCTACACCCAGCCATCACCCAAGTGAAAAAAGAAGCACAATTAAAGCCCTGTCAGACCATGCAAAAAGAATCTATGAACTTCACCTCCTCCAAGGTGAACGGAACCACCTAAACCAGGTTCTACAGGCCAATGCAGACTCCACTACAAACATCAGAAGAGCTGCAAGACCAAGAACAAACCATGAGAGTCAAGACCAAGATCTACCCAGAGGGAAAGGGTTCCTGCCATACATCAAAGGAACCACTGACCACACAGGGAAGCTGATGAAGAAACACAACCTACAAATGATCTACAGACCCACCAAGAAAATCCAAGAAATGCTACGTTCAGCAAAGGATAAGAGGGATCTTCCCATCTCTGCAGGTGTCTACTGTATATCATACAGCTGTGGATATGTCTACAGAGGGACCACCAAATGCTGCACTGTCCAAACACGAATCAATAATCATCATCATCGTCATCATCATCATCGACAAAATCATGATCTGAGATGTAATATAATGGACTGGTTGCTCTGACACGACAAATAAATAGCTGCAAAAGGCCACCTTAATTGGATCTGTGCGCATCATTCGAAAATACATCACACAGTCCTAGACGCTGGGGAAGTGTTCAACTTGTGAATTTGTGATACGAAATCCAGCAGAGAGATCTCGTTTGCTGTGACATGCTGTGCTTTTGTGTCAATAATAATAATAATAATAATAATAATAATAATAATAATAATAATACAAAAAATAAAAGTTACAGAAAATGAACACGTAAAGCTACCCTGGGGCTTCCAGATTCAGACAGACAGAGTTTTGGAGCACAATACTCCTGACCTCACGATCATGCTAAAACGCAAAGTATGGATTGTTGATGTTGCAATCCCAGACAACAGCAGGATTGAAGAGAAACAACTGGAAAAGATGACACATTATAAGGATTTAAAGATCAAACTGCAAAGACTCTGGCACAAGCCGGTCAAGGGGGTCCCAGTGGTGATCGGCACACTGGGTGCAGTGCCTCAAGACCTTGGCCTGCACTTAAACACAATTGGCAATGACAAGATTCCCATCTGCCAGCTGCAAAAGGCCACCTTACTGGGATCTGCACGCATTATTCGCACATACGTTACACAGTCCTAGACACTTGGGAAGTGTCCAATATGTGATCCAATACAACAGCCAGTAGGGTGTCTGCTGTGGGCTCATCTTGTGTTTCAAATAATAATGCGAAATCCAGCATATAGATCTCATTTGCTGTGACATACTGTGTTTTTATGTCACAATAATAATAATAATAATAATAATAATAATAATAATAATAATAATAATTTATTTATATTCTGCTCTATCTCCCTGAAGGGACTCGGGGCAGATTCAAGGAACACGAAAGGCACTGCAGACTCCTTCAACCAGAGAAGTCAGCCATAGCAGAGCACCTGAGGAACCAACCTGGACACAGCATATTATCGGAGAACACAGAAATGTTGGACCACTCTCACAACCACCATGTCGGGCTACACAGAGAAGCCATTGAAATCCACAAGAAGCATGTGGACAATGTCAACAGAAAGGAGGAAACCAGGAAAATCAACAAAATCTGGCTACCGGTATTAAAAACTCTAAAAGCAGGACAGTAAATAAAGAACAACACTTAGAAAACTGGGGAATCCCAGACAGGCATCATTAAGGGCCAGCTAACATCTGCCAACAAAGGATTCCCCCAGGCAGCAACCAGCCAGGCCTTGAGTCAATGTCAATTTCAAAGCACCTGCTCCCCTTTCCAATTATTCTTTATCAATATAAACTGGATGGCTCTCCACCAGTGGATATCATCAAATATTGGACAAATACATCATTTTGTCACTCTATAAAACTATGATTCCCACTAGTTACCTCAGGAAGAGAGGTTGACCATTCCCTGGCATCTCTGGCATCCCGGTGGAGGATATCTGGGGGTAGCACCTGGATCTGGGGTGCCATCAGCAATATTACTGCAAGGCTATCTTCTTCTTCTTTTTATTTCCAGCAATACAATACTACTTATTTACAACAGTTAGTAATGCTATTTTAAAAGACATTGTAGGAGATGGTGGTGATTCACAAGCACTTGTTGGCTCTGCTGCCTTTCAGAAAGGTCCCCATCGCTAGGTAAAAGTAAAGTTTTCCCTTGACAGTAAATCTAATTGTGTTTGACTCTGAGGGGTGGTGCTCATCTCCATTTCTAAGCCTAAGAGCTGGCGTTGTCTATAGACACCTCCAAGATCATGTGGTCAGCATGACTACATGGAATACCGTTGCCTTCCTGCCAAAGTCGTACCTATTGATCTACTCACATTTGCATGTTTTCAAACTGCTAGGTTAGCAGAAGCTGGGGCTAACAACAGGAGCTCACCCCATCCCACAAATGTCTGCAACTTAGTGTTTAACCCACTGTGCCACTGAGCCCCATTGCTACCCTCTGGTAAAGTACAACAGAAGATGACTTGGCCACGGTAGTCCACGCTCTGGTTACATCCCGTCTTGACTACTGCAATGCTCTCTACGTGGGGTTGCCTTTGAAGACGGCTCGGAAGCTCCAATTAGTCCAACGGGCAGCCATGATACTAACAGGAGCGGAGCGCAGGGAGCATACAACTCCTTTGCTGCACCAGCTCCACTGGCTGCCGATTTGCTACCGGGCTCAATTCAAAGTGCTGGCCTTTAAAGCCCTAAACGGTTCTGGCCCAAGTTACCTATCCGAACGTATCTCTGCCTATCAGCCTGCCAGGACCCTAAGATCTTCTGGGGAGGCCCTGCTCTCTATCCCGCCTGCTTCACAGGTGCGGCTGGCGGGGACGAGAGACAGGGCCTTTTCTGTGGTGGCCCCTCGGCTTTGGAACGCCCTCCCCATAGAGGTAAGATCAGCCCCTTCGCTGATGGTGTTTCGAAAAAGATTGAAGACATGGATGTTAAAACAAGCATTCGGTTAATCCGGTGCAATGAATTTGATGATCAAAGGACTGGTAATCACAGACGACGAAATTGGATTGCGATTTTAGTTAAGAGATGCATTGGATTATTATTGGTGGCCCAATAATATTGTGTATTGTGTATGTGTTTTATGCTTTTTAATGGAATATTGCTGCTTGTCGTTGTGTTGTAAACCGCGTTGAGTCGCCGATTTAGGCTGAGAAACGGCGGTATATAAGCACAGTAATAAATAAATAAGATGCGGTCAGAGACAGGAAAACCCAGGGTCATGAAGGTCAGGTGTAAATCATCTTTGTTCCTATCCTGAATTCCCATACAGATGGCTGGGGTCTCTCCAAATTTCCTCCCTTCCACCCAGCTAGGACACCACAAAGATATCCCATTGTCCCCACCCTTGCTGCTGGGATATTTGCATTGCTTACTCTCGCACTTGGATGACTTTGCGAAGATTCCCAGATTCAAACTTGGAGAAGAACTTCAGGCAGTCTGGAGCATCATGGCTGAAAGAAAATGCAACTAGATTATTGTTCAACAGTAAATAGCAAAGAAGAGTAGTTGCAGAACTTCCTTGCTAGGGAAATTAATGCAAGACTATTGGGAGTGTGGAGGGAGTCATTCAGTATAGAACCCCAGTAATCATCAGTTTTCTGACATGCTGAATTGGCTCTGGGTTCTAGCCTGGACTTTAAAGGAATCGCTCAAGGAGCAGACTTCTTTTTGACAAAATTCAGGACCTTGGACAGATCCTTTAAAATTCAGCTGCTTTAAAAGAATTGTTCAGGGGAATCCTGTACTCAGAAGAGATCCTTTACAGTTCAGACGTCAATAAGTCCAGCAGTATGAAGAACAGCTTTGTCTCAAATGACATGGATCACCTTGAAAGAAAAAAGAAGCTTACCTTGTGCCATCTAAGTCAAACGCAATTTGGTTGATTATATCATTTGGCTGAATGACACGATGAACATCTTCAAAGATTTTGGCCCTACAATGAGAAAAAAAAGGACAAAGCTGCTGGACCCGCTCAGTTTTTACCCATACTTTTCATAACAATTCCAATATTCTTTTTTTTACAATGGCGAAGTGCTTCAAAACAAGCAGAAGATGCAATAATATCTAGCAGAGGTCCTCTGGAAAGATTCCTAGAGATGATTCCTAGAGCTCCTGGCAGGTCTGCTACCCAAATATTAACCATGCCTGATCCTGCTTAGTTTCCAAATGGAGCGTTCATATGATAGCTGAGATGTGGTATGAGCCCATCACAAAATCTGCATTTTTATGGGAAATATATGCAAAGCGCATGTAGTAGGAAAGCTACAATTGAAAAACCATGGGTTCCTAAATGACTCTCGTGCGGTGGTTCTCAACCTGTAGGTCCCCAGATGTTTTGGCCTTCAAATCCTAACGGCTGGTAAACTGGCTGGGATTTCTGGGAGTTGTAGGCCAAAATACAACTCCCTGTTGTGATTTTTTAATGCTTATATTGTCTTGTTAATTTTATGTTTGTGCTGTTTTCTTTGTATGTATTGATGATATTACTTGGAAACCACTCTGAATTCCATCAGGGAGATAGAGCAGTATATAAAGTCTGATCTGGCTACAGTCGTCCATGCTCTGGTCACATCCTGAATAGATTACTGCAACGCACTCTACGTGGGGCTGCCTTTGAAGACGGTTCAGAAACTGCAGTTCGTCCAACGGGCAGCAGCCAGATTACTAACAGGAGCTACATACAGGGAGAATACTGACCACTTCCAAGCTCAATTCAAAGTGCTGTTTTTCACCTATAAAGCTCTATATGGTTCTGGCCCAGCTTACTTGTCCGAACGCATCTGCCTCTATGTCCCACCTTGTAACTTAAGATCATCCGAGGGGGCCCTGCTCTCGCTCCCACCAACATCACAAACACGGCTGGTGGGGATGAGAGACAGGGCCTTCTTGGCTGTAGCCCCCCCCCCCCAACCTGTGGAATGCTCTTCCAAATGAATTACAATCGACCCCATCCCACATCCCTCCTGGCATTCAGGAAGAAATTAAAATCTTGGTTTTGGGACCAGGCTTTCAGACAATAAACATAAAGCAGCACTTTGATTAGAAATTGATAGGCAAGACGATATATATGAGGATACGGATTTATTGTTCCACCAGTGGGTTTGTGGACTGCGTATTGTTTTAATTTAATGACTGTTATGATAATTTGGTTATAATTAATGGCTATTGTTTTAACTTTGTATGTATTTACGGTTTTATATTGTGTTGTTGATTTGCGGCATCGAATTGCTGCCTATGTTAGGCGCTCTGAGTCCCGTCCCCGTCCCCGTCCCCGTCCCCCCCACTTCCTGGGGTTGAGAAGGGTGGGATAAAAAATCTGTAAATAAAATAAAATAAATGAAGTTTTGTTGTTTTGTTGACCCACGGGTTGAGAACCACTGCTCTAGTGTTTGAATCAGTGGTTCCCAACCTGTGGTCCATGGAACACCAGGGGTCCACAGGAAGTAATATATGGTCCACAGTCTGACCATTACTACAACGAGAGCAACGGTCTTGTGAAACACTCTTATAGTGCCAAGGCTTATTAAATATGGTTTTCTGTGGATGAGCAGATTGCGACTACTGGATAGCATATGTTCTGTATCAGAAACTAGAGCTGATGTGGTCTATCCAATGCAATTTTCTGAATCAGCACCCCAAATAACCAAACCGAATCTAAAGTTGACCAAAAACTGATTCATAACCCTTTTGGTACTAATGTTGGAGAGTGGTCCCTGGTCAAAGTGGTCCGTGGTCAAAAAAAAAGGTTGGGAACTACTAATTTCAATGCTCAAGTATTAGAAAAGAATACATACAAAAATTGTCATTTAAAAAATGCATACTGATGTAGAAATTTGACATACTATATATATATATATATATATATATATATATATATATATATATATTATATATATATATAGTAATAGGCCTGGGTAACAACGGAAAAATTTGTTTCTAAAATCGATTCGTTTTTTGGGGGGTTTTTGCGTTTCGTTATTTAAAATAATTACAAAATTTTCCTTTTAAAAAGTTCGATATTTACGAAATTTCGTAAATGTAAAAAAAATTACAAAACATTAACGAATCGATTTCCGAAACAATAACGAATCGATTCGTTAATGGCGGACGCGACCGCGAAATACGCTAAAAAACCTCCAAAAACTTCTGAAGCTTCCCTCTCCCTCTGTTGTTGACTGTTGGTGTGATATTATAATTTTTTTTCACTAATTAAACAAAAAACAATAGATGCCCCAGACATGCGGAAATAATAACGAAACGACCTCAAAACAATAACGAAACGAATACAATATCGAAATACGAAGCATTTACAAAACGTTTTTGAAAATTCGTTTTTTTAATAATTGCTCCAGAATGGTTCATTATCGTTTTGTAATTGAAAAAATTAACGAATTATTAACGAATTACGAATTAACGAAACGAAACCGCCCAGCCCTATTACCTACATATTGACAAATGTTCAAAAATTGATTATATACACATTCTTCATTGATGTTAATTGCCTTCAAGTTGGTTTTGACATATGCTGCCTTTATGAGTGAGAGAAATTCATATTTATATATATATATATATATATATAGTATATATATACATGTGTAGTATATATATACTACACATGAAGTTAGCATGTGTACTAGAAATAAGGATGAAATTGATCCCACCATCCAATCTGGGTTTCCGGAAACTCTATTCCAGTCTCCATCCTAGATTTACACTTTCCCTTTCAAATACTCAGCCTATTAAGTTCAATCATTAGGAACAAGCTAAAACCAATCAATTGACTTGTTGATTCTGTTTTCTTGTTTCTCCAGTGGACCCTGTTTTTGCATAACAACGGACACCTTGGGCCGCTTTAAGCGGAAATAATGTCATTGCCTGACATTGCTACACCTTCTTACTTAGGTTAGTAAAGAATTTTTGCAACATTATTCATTCTTGATGAGACAGGATCGATAATGACATGTTGAAACTGCCTGTCAAGAAACTGACAATCCCCATAAGATTTGTCACCCCACGCATGACAACAAGACTAGCCTTTTCCCCCTCATTGTTTCCTCAATTTATGCAAGATGTTTCTGTGCAAAACTACTGCTCTTTTCCTTTTCGAAGGAAAACCACAACTCACTAACCAGACAACAGGCTTCATGCTGTGAGGCAGCTACAAGCAGATTCTACACAAAAATAATCTATTTATTTATTTACTAGCGGTCCCCTGCCATGTGTTGCTGTGGCCCAGTCTGTGTAGATGAGTTTTGTGTGTATATATATTTGTGTATATGTGTATAAATATACACAAATCTGGCCAGGGTGGCCCACGCCTTAGTCACCTCCAGATTGGATTGCTGTAATGCACTCTACGTGGGGCTGCCCTTGAAAACGGCTCGGAAATTCCAACTGGTCCAACTGACGGCGGCCAGGATGTTAACTGGGGCTCCTTACAGAGAGAGGTCAACCCTCCTGTTTAAGGAGCTCCACTGGCTGCTGTTTATTTTCCGATCCCAATTCAAGGTGCAGGTGCTTACCTACAATGCCCTAAATGGATTGGGACCCACCTACCTGCGTGACTGCATCTCTCTTTACGAACCCACACGATCTCTTTGATCATCTGGAGAGGCCTTGCTCACGATCCCACCTCCATCGCAAGTGCCATTGGTGGGGACGAGGGAGAGGGCCTTCTCAGTGGTGGCCCCTCGACTCTGGAACTCTCTCCCTAAGGATATCAGGCATGCCCCAACTCTGGCAGTTTTTAGGAGGAGCTTGAAAACCTGGTTGTTCCAGTGTGCCTTCCCAGAATAAGGAAACTCCAAGCAATATGTCCCCAAATGCACTTTACTAGAGATCCAGGATGTCTGCATACCCCACTTCCCTCCAAATACCTATCCTTTTCACCTGGTCATGCCCACCATATTTTAAAATTTTTAATTATTACATTTGGCCCTGCCATAGGTCTTAATGCGTCGTGGTGTTTTGTTAATGTGTATTGCTTTGCTTTTATTGTTTTGTTTTTGAGTTCATTTATTGTTGTATTGTTGTTATTGTTGTGTACTGATGTATTTGGGCTCGGCCTCTTGTAAGCCGCACCGAGTCCTTCGGGAGATGGTAGCGGGGTATAAATAAAGGATTATTATTATTATTATTATTATTATTATTATTATTATTATTATTACATGCGTATTTGTGTATATATATATGTGGTTTTGCGCATAATGTTTTTGTTGTTTTTTGGCTTTTAAGCCTCTTCTGCTGTGTTTTTCGGTGTTTTTATGAGTGATGGTCACTCGTTGGTCAGTTAGGGGTGTAGTGTCCAAATTTGATGTCAATTCATCCAGTGGTTTTTGAGTTATGTTAATCCCACAAACGAACATTACATTTTTATTTACATAGATTTCCCATATTTTTACCCCACCCTTCTCACCCTGAAGGGAACTCAGGGTGGTCTTACAACAGGCAACAATTCGATGTTATACACATACATGTCCATAAAAAATTAATACAATTAAAATCCAAGCAATGAAAACATCCATTATTAAAACATTAATTAAAACTTTAGTCCAGGGCCATTCCATTTTTCAATCACATTAATTCATCGTCACTTATTACACTGCTCCAATTACTGGTCGAAGGCTTGGTCCCAAAGCCACGTCTTAAGTTTTTTCCTGAAGGTCAGGAGAGGAGGGGCAGTCTAATTTCACTGGGAAGGGAGTTCCACAACCAAGGGGCCACCACTGAGAAGGCCCTGTCTCTCATCCCTACCAGTTGCGCCTGCGAAAGACGTGAGACTGAGAGCAGGGCTTCTCCAGATGATCTTAACCTCCGAGGTGGATCATAGAAGGAGATACATTCGGACAGAGAAGCTGGGCTGGAACCATTTAGGGCTTTATAGGCTAAAGTAAGCAGTTTGAATTGTGCTCGGTAGCAGACTGGCAGCCAATGGAGCTGCCAGTCTGGTGAGCAATCTGGCTGCCATCCATTGGACCACTTATAGCTTCCGAACAGTCTTCAAAGGCAACCCCATGTAGAGCGAGTTGCAGTAGTCTATTTGGGATGTGATCAGAGTGTGGACTACCATGGCCAATCATACCATTCACTCAAAAATGTTTTTTTTTCTGGAAGGTGACTGTGCAAAAATAAAAACAATGTTCACATTGTATATTTATAGCATTACGATTCCACTGAAACTGTCATGGTTATATTCTATGGAGTCTGGGATTTGTAGCTCAGGGAAGTAGTAGAATTCTTTCCTCACCTTCTAGGATTCGATGGGATGCCGCCATGGCAGTTAATGTGGAGCCACAATGCTAGAATTATGTGGTATGAAAGGGTCTACCATCTCTGAAAAATATTGTAAGCTTGTTTTCAGATGTGGGAGTAAGATAAGCAAGGAATTACACATTGAATTTTCACACATGATATGGTGCCTGTGACGGCGCGAGTGGCGCCACCTATGTATAGAACTGTTCGTTGTAAGATTTAAACTGTTGAATCATGCTTAATCCTGCCACTTTTTACCCTGCTTATGTATCGTATGGATTGGTTGCTTGTAGCTGTCAATCAGTACTGTTTGGCTCCACCTCTTCCTGCAGGAGGGGAGAACTTCCTTTTTCTTCTTCATTCTGCCATCAGAGTTCATACCACATGGACGTGAGTAAGAGACCTGACTCTAAAGGACCCTGATTTAAGTTACCTCTTAGCACCAGTTCTGAGGTTTTTTTACCCTTGGGACTCATGCTTTATGTCCAGATCGTCCTGGATAACATTGAGGAATTCCCAAGCGCCTTCAAGCCGGTTCTTTTGGCACCAAAGGAAGATCCTGAGTCTTCAAAACATAGGCCATTTGAACTGGGGTTGTGGTTTGCTCCGGCATTCACAGCCATTGAGGAAAGGGGAAACTTGGTGAGGCTTCTCAGCTTCCAACCCCTTGGACCCAGGGCTGATTGAGACTGTGACGTATGTTTTCCTTCACCCCTCTAAAGTTTTCCAGCTCATTGCTTTGAAGAAATGACTTTTTACAGCGTTTTGGGTTTTTGGGAGTTCCAGTTTCCTAAAGGAGGGCAAGAAGCAATCCCCTGGGGGAAAGGTGCCATGCCCACCCCTCCTTCATTGGGAATAATAGCCCCCAGGCACAGTGCCCTTGCTTACATGTCCTTCTACTTTTACTCTATAAAAGCAGGCCAAGATGAGATGGGACTTACCTCTGGACACCATGCCGTCTCTGGTGTAAAAACTGGCTATAAGGAGGAGGGATGTGACCCCAGAGATCTGGGAACGCCAGGACTCTGTAGTCTGGAATGGACTTGGTGCAGCCAGCCCTTGCCATATAGTAGCGAGGGTTGTGGAAAGGGATATTGCCTGGGTGTCTCTCCAAAAGCTTGGTTACTACCTCAGAAGTCCCCACGGTCTCTTGGCCATTGGATCGGCAGGAGTTCACATGCTGAGAAGGTGCCGTTCTTTTGTCCCGCAAGGACGCTTTGGCCAGAGGATGCAAAGCAGCAGCACCTTTGTCTGGGTCTTCTCCTCCTCTGAACGAATCCTCCGAAGGCTGAGATTCATTGTGAATTGCTTTTCTAGGCCCTTGAGAAGGTTTATCTCTTTTCAGAGAGTTCTTCAGTAGAACCCGAGAAGTTCTTTGGGACAGTTTTTCCTTTTGAGCGATTTGGTCCCTCTCTGGACACTCTGGCTGGAGCTTTGAGGAATCTGCATTTGGAATCACATGGAGGCAGGAACGGGTCAGCGTGGCAGAGATGTCCTCAGAGGTGATCTCATTTTCAGACTCTGGTTCCTTTAGGAGATGGGAGAAAAGACAGAAGAGAGTGGCATGACTCCCTCCTTACACTATCCTCTTGGATTCATAACATGTATAAAATTTATTTATTTGCTACATTTATATATTGCACCTCTCAGCCCACAATCACAATAAAAAATACCCAAAAAATCACCAAAGAATCATAAAATCCGGACACTAAACATTAAACTTAATTAGCAATAGAAAAGTAACTTCTCTTAAAATCTCTCACCCCAAAAGGGGCGTGATCTCTGCCTACATGAACATCTCTCCCAATCCACCTTTGACTCTAAAGCAGGGGTTCTCAAACTGTGCTCTGAGGAGCCCTTGGGGCTCCACGAGTGATGGTGAGGGGCTCCGTGGTGCCAGCCTGCTTCCCACCTCCACCTCTTTCTTCAAGTTCGCGAGAAATGCAGGGAAATTAAAGTTTGGAGCTGCCAAAACAGCAGCAGCAGCAGCAGCAGCAGCATCCTCCAGACCCTTTTCAGCCTATCTCCCTCACTGCACACTTTTCCTTGCTGCCCAGACCCTCCCCCTCCCTTGCCTTCATAGAATCCTAGAATCCTAGAGTTGGAAGAGACCTCCTGGGCCATCACCCAGTCCAACCCCATTCTGCCAAGAAGCAGGAATATTGCATTCAAATCACCCCTGACAGATGGCCATCCAGCCTCTGTTTAAAAGCTTCCAAAGAAGGAGCCTCCACCACACTCCGGGGCAGAGAGTTCCACTGCTGAACGCTCTCACAGTCAGGAAGTTCTTCCTCATGTCAGGTGGAATCTCCTCTCTTGTAGTTTGAAGCCATTGTTCTGCGTCCTAGTCCTAGTTGTCCTCCCCATATGCCAAAGAGCAGAAGTGTGTTGGTTTTTTTTGGGGAGAGGAGGGTAGGGGCCATTTTTGGATTCATCACTTACGCTTGAGGCTCAGGCGTCGGCGGTGTCCGGGAGGGCTTTCGCACAGTTAAGACTCATGCGCCAGCTGCGACCATACCTCGCAAAGGCTGATTTGGCCGGGGTGGTCCATGCCTTAGTCACCTCCGATTGGACTACTGTAATGCGCTCTACGTGGGGCTGCCCTTGAAAACGGCTCGGAAATTCCAACTGGTTCAACAGGCGGCGGCCAGGATGTTAACTGGTGCTTCTTACAGAGAGAGGTCAACCCTCCTGTTCAAGGAGCTCCATTGGCTGCCATTTACCTACCGAACCCAATTCAAGGTGCAGGTGCTAACCTACAAAGCCCTAAACGGTTTGGGACCTGCCTACCTGCGTGACCGCATCTCCGTATATGAACCCACACGATCCCTCCGTTCATCTGGAGAGGCCCTGCTCACGATCCCACCTGCGTTTGGTGGGGACGAGGGACAGGGCCTTCTCTGTGGTTGCCCCCCGACTTTGGAACACCCTCCCCAAAGACATTAGACTAGCACCCACGTTGGCAGTCTTTAGGAAGAATTTGAAGACCTGGTTATTCCGATGTGCCTTTCCAGAATAGGATAACCTCCAGCACTACGTCCCAGAAGCACTTTATTAGAGTTTAAGACTCTCTGCACATTGCACTTGCCCAGAATTCCAACATACCACCTCACACACCCAGCACTTTTTAACCTATACCCATCATTGGCCCGGCCCTGGTTTTATTGCGTAAATAGTGTAATGTTTTGCTATTGCTTATGTTTTTAATTTGCTTTGTTTTGTATTGTTTTGTGTTGTTTATTGCTGTTGTGTTGAGGCCTTGGCCTTTGTAAGCCGCATCGAGTCCTTCGGGAGATGCTAGCGGGGTACAAATAAAGTTTAAATAATAAAAAAAATAATTTTTATTTGTTTTGGAAGGGAGTTCCAGAGATGAGGAGTGATCACAGAGAAGCCGCCTCTTTTGTTCCCACTAGCCGCACTTGTGACGGAGGGTGGGATCGAGAGCAGGGCTTCCTCTTCTGATCCCAGTGCATGAGATGGTCTGTATAGGGAGATGTGGTTAGATGAATACGCTGGACTTGAACCATTTAGGGTTTTGTAGGTAACGACCAGCACTTCGTATTCAGCTTGGAAGCAGATTGGCAGCCAGTGGAACTGCTGCAACATGGAGCAACCCAGTGGCCATCCAGCCCAACCCCCTTCTGTCATGCAGGAAAAAGCACAATCCAAGCACTCTCTGAGTGGTAGGAGGGAAACAGAGTTTTGGGAACAGATACAGAAATGGGGGACGCATGGCTTGAGAGCTCTCGTGAACAACAAGTTAAACATGAGCCAAGAATGTGATGTGGTGGCAAAAAAAGCCAATGGGATTTTGGCCTCAGGCATCAATAGGGGCCTAGTGTCTAGATCCAGGGAAGTCCCATGCTCCCCATGCTCTATTCCGCTTGGTTAGACCACACCTGGAATATGTGTCCAATTCTGGGCACACATGAAGGAGATATTGACAAGCTGGAATGTGTCCAGAGGAGAGTGACTAAAATGATCAAGGGTCTGGAGAACAAGCCCTATGAGGAGCGGCTTAAGGAGCTGGGCATGTTTAGCCTGAAGAAGAGAAGGCTGAGAGGAGACATGATAGCCATGTATAAATATGTGAGAGGAAGCCACAGGGAGGAGGAGGGAGCAAGCTTCCTTTCTGCTTCCCTGGAGACTAGGACGCAAGGGAGGAATGGCTTCAAACTACAAGAGAGGAGATTCCATCTGAACATGAGGAAGAACTTCCTGACTGTGAGAGCCGTTCAGCAGTGGAACTCTCTGCCCCGGAGGGAGTGTGGTGGAGGTTCCTTCTTTGGAAGCTTTTAAACAGAGGCTGGATGGCCATCTGTCAGGGGTGCTTTGAATGCAATATTCCTGCTTCTTGGCAGAATGGGGTTGGGCTGGGTGATGGCCCAGGAGGTCTCTTCCCACTCTTCTAGGATTCTAGGGTTCTTTAGATCAATGCCATTGGAATGCTAACTGACTTACTTGCGCCCCACAGCCATGATGGTACATTTTAAAGAACTACTATGACAGCCAATGCTCACCTATTTTAATTGTTATTACTATGATAGATGTTTTAATTTTGATCGTGTTTTAAGGTATCATGTTTTTTGCGATTATTTGTATCCTCTTTCTAATTTTAATGTTTAATTCTTTTATGCGATAAGCTCACTGTTGTCGTTATTTGTATCATGCTGCATTGCTTTAATGTATTTGCACTTGCTTGGGCATTACATGTTTGCCTTTTTGTGTCCAGAGTCAGACAAGGCTAGACTTAATGTCAAGGGAAACCTTTACCTTTACCTATAATATATAAACATATCTTGCAGCTCCATGATAAACTTTTGCTTCAAAAAGGGCTCCGCAGCTGAAAAGGTTTGAGAAGCCCTGCTCTAAAATATTGCTGCTTTGTCCATCTTGGATGTTATTGAATTTTGACACATGGCCAACTCAGGTATCCATGGATATATTCTTTGGATTTAGAGAGAAATCACAACCAAGGGCCACCTCACCCCAAAGTTACAGCAAAGTTCTGGACACATGGTCTTATACTGCTTAAGCTCCGATTCTGGCCGGTCAAGCTCTGGTTTTGATAGGAGTTTCTCAGCATCAGTTTCTAAGTCATCGTCCTATTGGAGAAAGAGTCAGAAAGAAGCTGCTTTGGAAAATATTTCCTTAAATCATCACCAATCACAGCACATTCAACCCCTTACACTTTCCAAGGGCTTAAAGCCAACCTTTATAACTGTGGCATAGACACCAAGAACTGGGAAGCCCTGACCCTTGAGCACTCTAACTGGAGGTCAGATGTGACCAGCAGTGGTGTGGGATTCAAAGAGGAACGATGGGATGGCCCATGAGGTCTCTTCCAACTCTTTGATTCTATGGAGGGCGAACGAGAGCAATGTGACAAGAGGAAGGTACGTCAAGCTAACCCTGACCAGGACCACCTTCCATCTGGAAACCAATATCTTCACTGTGGAGGAACAGTTTCCTGATGGAAGGCGGATCAAGAATTGGGCTCATAGTCATCTGCGGACCCACTGCCAAGACACAACACTTGGAAGGCCATCATACTTCGACAACGAGGGATCAGCTAAGGAAGTAATCGTATTTGTTTGTTCCTATGGACATGAAAGATCTGGACATCTTACAGCGTAACTGTAATATAATATTCGGTGCTTCAAAAGCAAACCTTCAGATCCCCATTCTGGCAATTATTATTTAAGGCAATCCTATACATTTCTACTTAGAAATTAAGTCTGACTGAATTCATTAGGGGTTTCTCCCCACTAAATATCGATATGTTCAGGCATGGCAAATGTAAAAAGGGCAATCAGCTGGTGTCATGGTCCATTTGCCCTTTTGAACCTGAATTCCCCAAAAGTTGGCATGTTTAAACTTGTATTTTGCAAAAGCAATAATTCTAAATTCTACGGTTCTGGCCCAACTTACCTATCTGAACTCATCTCCCCTTATGAACCCTCCAGAACTTCAAGATCGTCTAGGGAGGCCCTGCTCTCAGTCCCACCTTCGTCACAAGTACGGCTGGCGGGGACGAGAGACAGGGCCTTCTCAGTGGTGGCCCCTCAATTATGGAATACTCTCCCTAGGGATATTAGATCACCCCCCCTCCCTGTTAACATTTTGAAAGAGAGTCAAGACTTGGCTCTTTGAGCAGGCATTTCCAAGTACAGTGTAAATAGACCTAGGAAAATTGAGTATTTGAATAACATGATTGGACAATGTTTTTAATAGGAGATTCTAATGTTTATGTTTTTGTTGATTTTGTTATGGTTTTATTATCTGATCATTTTTGTTGTATTGAAATTGTATTTTATGGTCTTGGCAGCAATTGTATACTGCCTGAAGTCGCCTGCGGGCTGAGAGGGACGGAATATAAATATAGTAAGTAAATAAATACTATACGATACGATACTGGCTCTTATGGGACAAGCTTCACATGAACAAGCCAAACTGTCCTTTTATCACATCCTTTTAATGGGAAGATCAACCAGTTTGTCTAATATTCTTTCTCCCATGTTCAAACTGTGTGTATTATGCAAAATTATAATAAAACATGAGTGAAAGCAAATTTTTCAGCCATGCCAAATGAAAAGTACACCCTAGTCTCATTGGCAAGTGGTTGCCCGCCATAGAATATGTGGCCTACAGAGGAGTCTCCGAAATAAATACTTACTTCCTCTTTGTTTTCCGCATCATCTAAGTCTTTTTCAATGTCTTCCTCAACGTCATATTCAAAATAGCCTGCAAAGAATGCAAGAGAGATTGAGCAACTGGCTAAACTAAACGTCTCATCACTCACCAAACTAAGCTAGTTATTGGGTCCCTTATTTTGCATTGGCTACATAAACAGTATTTCTCTAGGAATGGTTTCTGCGTAATTTTTAAACAATCTAACAATATTGGCGGTGGAAGGATAATCATTTCCCAATGTTGCTTCTACATGTCCAAAATATTATGGACTACAGTGGGGAATTCTGATGATGCAAGGCTGGATTTGCAGAAGAAGCACGGCATTCAGCTGTTAATCCAGATCAAGAGCTGGATTGACTACAGAGGTTCTAGGAAGCTCCCAGAGTTTTGGAAATGTGGACATCTGGGTCATATCAAAATCCATAATGTTGTCCACAAAACCTGCCCTTGACTTACACTGAGGTTGATTCATACATGGCACATAATTCACAAAATGTATAGCCTCAACCTTGTAATGAAGGTGTGACATTAATTTCATTGTTCTTTGTCCAACTCTAGTATTCTACACATTTATTTACCTTCAGGTCTAGCTTGAGAAGGTTCAGTTCTCCCAGGTATGGGAAAGGAATAGGAACTTCTAAGAGCAGCAGAAGGAAGAGGCATCTTGGGAAAGGTCTTCCTCAGGATCTGGGTCACTGTGTTCGCTATTGGATCTAGGTTCTTGCCGGTCAAGCCGTCCTAAGTACCAATAAAGAAGCACATTCAGACTCTTGTTTTCCTACTGTAAGGATATTGCAAGATGGATACCATACCAAAGATCTCTGTCATTCCTAGAGCTTGGAAACAACTCAAATACTGTATGACCCATTTAGCCATGAGCTTCATCTCCCTAGTTTCACTTACTCAAATCACCAAAAATATACCTCCTTCTAAATTAAGTAAATATTATAAACATAATTGTTGGAAGCACGAAAGTCAAGAAGGAAGCTTTCCCCATATGTGGTGGTCGTGTGATAAGGCAGAACTTTTTTTTGGAAAATCATCCACGAAGAAGTACAGAAAATCTTAGAAATGAAATTGGAAATGAAACCTGAATACGTTTTACTGAGTTTCACAGATGAGAAGATAGACATGAACAAAGAAGTTCTCCTCAGTTACTTAACGACAGCGGAATAACTTATGTCAAGATGTGGAGATAGAATGGAATCCCCACAAAGGAACAATAGTTAATGAAGGTTATGGAATATGGACGAATTAACCCAACTGCTAAAGAGACACCATGGAAAACCAAGTAAGAAGACAGACTGGCATTTATTTCGGGACTAGATGGAGAGAGAAGAGAATATTAATAATATAGCCAGCCTAATTATTAGAAGTCTGCACCAATAAAGGACTTACCCAAAGAGGAAAAGATAATACTGAGGACTATGGGAAATTATGGATTACCAGTATGGGAAGAGCTTGGAAGCACAATTTCCTTTTTCTTTTTTTTTCCTTTTCTCTTTCTTTTTCTCTTTTTTATTATTCTTCTATTAATCTTTTTTTATTACTACTGCTTTATTATTATCACACACACACACACACACCCTGCCAAAACATGCCTTTCTAAGTACTGTAGTGTTGTAGTTCTGCCACTGATTGTGCCTAATGTCAATGAAAAAGTGGATCATGGGACTTCTGGGCCTGCCGAGCCTGCAAGCCAGGATGAGATCTTAAGGCCTGAAATTGAGCATTCAGTGTCTCCTGGGGTTAGTGAAGACAAAGGTCACATTCCAGAGAGGGGGCCAGAGAAGTCTTTCTCTAGGGAAGCAAGTTCACAGCTGATAGGTAGGAGACTTAGTTTTCGCAAACTCCGAACTGCTTCAGGGATTTTTCAGCCGTCTGGTAAACGTTGGAGTTTGAAGCAGCATCTCTGGCCAAGTTCTAGTCAAGCCTGCTAAGGGAATTCTAGTTTCATGTTTTCAGTTGTTCATGTTCCATGCTTCCACATTTAAGGAATTGTTCCTGATTTTTTGTGCATTGGATTTTATGCTACCCTGTGTATCCCAGCTCTTTTGCATTCCTGGTTTTTCATGCAACTCATGTACTTTGAATCTTATGGACTATTTCTTACATTTGGACTTAGATGTTTGTTTGTTTTTACTATTTTTGCTGAACTGCTTTTTATATATTCTTCAATGAACTTCTTTGTTGATTTACATTGGACTGGAGTGTGGTAGTTGAGTACAGAGGTGCCTCCTGTTCTGGAATACAACATGTAGTATGGCTCTATGATAGGTTTCCAGGCCAAAGATAATCAATATACAAGCTTCAATATTTTCTGTGGTTTCAGGCATCCGTAGAGATGCACAGAAACAGTCTTGTTCACTTTAGTGAATGATCTAGTTCAGAACATAAATGGGATGGGAGACAGCACCCTTGTTAGTTCTGCTGGACCTCTGTGAGGCACCTGGTACCACTGATCATGAATTCTTCTACATCGCTAATGGTACTTGGACCATGAGTAGTGTAGGGACTGGAACTGGTGGAACACATGCTCCTGCACTGGTTCCAGTCCGTTTTACCCAGATAGTCCCAGAAAATGGGACTGAGAGACTGTTCGGTTTAAGAAGTGAATGGGCTCCAGTTCACTTTTAGCATTAGGAAGGGACTGTAATTGGTAAGTTTGAACTGAAATGTGAACTCAATAAATTTTTCTTCATATATTTAGACCAGGGGTTCCGAACCTTTTTTTGACCAGGCAGCATTTGACCAGGGGACCACTTTGACTAGGGACCACTTTGACCAGGAACCACTCTCCAACACTAGTACCAAAAGTTATGAATCGGGTTTTTGGTCAACTTTAGATTTGGCTTGGTTTTTTGTGGTGCTGATTCACAAAACTGCATTGGATAAACCACATCAGATCTAGTTTCTGTTACAGAACATATGCCGTTCATTAATTGCCATCTGCTCGCTCTCAGAAAAACTTATTTAATAATCTAGAGGTGGTCTTTCCAATGCAATTTTCTGAATCAGCAACCCAAATAACCCCAGGAACAGGCCTAAAAACGAAGACACCAAGGTGCCCCTGCTACCAGGAGCCACGTGGAATGGCTCTGCTCAGAGGGAGGGAGGGAGGGAGGGAGGGAGGAGGAGGAGGAGAAGCAGCAGTCAGGAGGCTTGTTGTCGTGCCTTTCATGGGTAGTCAGCTTCTTCCCTCCCGACATAAGAGAGTTTTGTGAGACCAGTCACTCTCATTGCAACGGTGTAGTAGCAGTGAGGCCACAGACCATATTTTATTTCTTAGGGACCACAGGTGGTTCATGGACCACAGGTTGGGAACCACTGGTGTAGACTTAATGGATGTATCAGTGATGCAGAGTGAGGGAAGACACAAAGCAACTGAATCCTCCATACTATACTGTGGGTACATTTCCCCCCAAAATTCAGGGTAAAAAATGTGAGCTACCACATTGGTCCCAGCTCAGAAGCAAGCTCAGTTAATATAAACTCCATAATTTGTACACATAATTTGATGAAGATCAACGTTGACTGAGAGTTGCCAGTTGAGCCACACTCTTCACCCTTTTCTTCTGCAAAGCCTCTCCGCCGCCCTCCTTGAGTCCAATGACCTTTGCAGCAAGGACAGAGTTTTAGCCAATTTAAATGTGTAACATTCCATATCCTTGAAGGCTTTATTGCTGCAGTTCACATACAACAATCTCCAGAGAGGGGAAACAGAATGGCAAAGCTATCATATATCTTTGTCGTTAAGCTGTATGATGCCCATCTACATAAGAATGTGATTGGTTTTTCATCCCAGATGATTTGAGTAAAAGCCATCCCATTCGCACAGAATATCAAGAAAGCACCGTGGAAGCCATTCCGAACAGCAGCACCGAACGTCTGTTTCATAAGCTGGGCCTGTCATAAAATGTTGTGGTGTGTCTTCTGCTATCAGGGCCAGCCTGGCCTGCCTCCGGGATACTCACAACTGCAACAATTTTGGGGGGAACCAGGGAGGGGTTGTTCTTCTCATTCCATTTATTTCATTATTCTCACCATTTCATTGTATCCAGTTTTCATGGAGCAGATGGGAAAGTTACTGTAGTAATATTTTCTTTATTTTTAAGAGATTTTTATAGACAGAATTCTACATTAACTATTTATTTACTTAATTAAGTATCCTCTCCAGGCCTAACCTTCAACCCCAACAGGATAAAAATATTATTTACTTGAGTTCTAATTGAAACTAAAGGCTTGTCTATACTAGCCCTATACCCCACATCCAGACAGAAGTTGCTCCTGGATTTCCACCTCTGGAGACTTCTGAAGGCAGCTCTCCTGAAGTCTAGAATGCGTGTTTTACTTCTCTCATTTTCACCCTTCCTTTATGTCACAAACTCTTGGAGTACATGGTCTCCCCCACCTAAGGATCCCATCACTTCCACTCCATTGACCAGATCCTCAGTGTTGGTTAGGATCAGATCCAGAGAAGCCGATCCCCTTGTTATCTCTTCTACTTTCAGGACAATAAAATTGCCTGCAAGGCAAGTGAGGAATTTGTTGGACTTTGTACTCTTGGCAAAGTTTATTTTCCAAACTGTGTAGTTGAAGTAGTTGAAGTCCCCCATTAGTACTATGTCCAGTAGTTGAAGTCCCCCATTAGTACTATGTCTCTTCTTTCGGCATGGTTGGTCATCTAGTCAAGGAAGGTTTCATCCAGTTCTTCCATCTGTAGTAGTAGACCCCCACAACTACATCTTTTACAGTCCTTGTTTCCTTAATTCTCACTCAGATGGTCTCAACCTGGTTTCCAGGATTGAAGTCTTGTGTCTCTTCACAGATGTAAGTATTTATGAGATATAATGCTACTCCACCCCTTTCCTGTTTGGTCTATCCTCTGAAATAGGTTATACCCCTCCATTGCTACATTCCAATCATAGGACTCGTCCCACCAGGTTTCAGTTATGCCTATTACATCGTAACTTTGTTGTACTAGGAGTTCCAGCTCGTCTTGTTTATATTCCATGCTCTGGGCATTGGTGTAAAGATATCTAAGCCCATGGGACATTCCCCTTAGCTGTTTATTTGAGATTATTGTCCCCTCACTGCTTGATACTTGTGTTTGCCCAACCCTCTCTTGTCCAACCCTTTTGTCTGTTCACTCCGGCCCTTGATAAACTATCTTCTCTCACACATTTGTCTGCTTTTAATAAAGTTTTTTTTAATTTGCCTGCCTTTTGAAAGCCACCTTAAATCCCAATCTAAGAAAAAGACAGAAGTGATGGGTGGATTGGTACATTGTGACTGAGCCATTTTTACATCCATTGAAAGATTATATATAAGTGGGGTAGGTCTAGCTTGGTGAAAGGTGATGTGATAGCAATCAATAATAATAATAATAATAATAATAATAATAATAATCCACAAATAATAATGAACTACAAACCACAGCTGACGGCTGGCACAACAAAGTATTGCATGGGCAGTTCCTTGACAAAATTGAAGGAAAAGTTGACAAGGAGAAGACCTGGTGATGGTTTACGAATGGAACCCTGGAGAAGGAGACAGAAGAAGGCCTGGTTCTTGCAGCCCAGGAGCAAGCCATCGGAACCAATGCCATTAAAGCCAGGATCAAAAAATCAGCTGATGACCCAAAATGCAGACTGTGCAAGGAAGTTGATGAAACCATGGACCATCTCAACTTGCAAGAAAATCACACAAATGGACTAAAAACAGAAACACAACTCTGTGGCCGAGATGATTCACTGGAACTTATGACACAAGTACCACCTCCCAGCAGTAAAGAATTGGTGGGATCATAAACCTGCAAAGGTCGTGGAAAATAAACACAAAAAATACCATGGGACTTTCGAATCCAGACTGACAAAGTTTTGAAAGACAATACATCAGATATCATGATTGTGGAAAAGAAAAAAGTTTGGATTATTGATGTTGCCATATCGGGTGAGAGTTGCATTGAGGAAAAACAACAGGAAAAACTCAGCCTCTATCAAGACCTCAAAATCAAACTGCAAAGGCTCTGGCATCAACCAGTCCAGGTGGTCCCAGTGATGATGGGCGCACTGGGTGCCATGCCAAAAGTTCTCAGCCAGCATTTGGAAACAATAAAAATCACAATCTGTCAACTGCTTACTTGGATCTGCGCGCATCATTTGAAAATACATCACACAGCCCTAGACGCTTGGCAAGGGTTCAACTTGTGATTTTGTGATACAAAATCCAGCATAGAGATCTCGTTTGCTGTGACATACTGTGTTTTTGTGTCAGTAAAATAATAATATAATATAATATAATAATAATAATAATAATAATAATAATAATAAAGTTTTATTTCTTGCTTGCCTGAGTATTATTAAAACATAAACAAACACATAATCATTTTAAAACACTCCTTAAAATAGGTTCTTGTGGGTTTTTTCGGGCTATAGGGCCATGTTCTAGAGGCATTTCTCCTGATGTTTCGCCTGCATCTATGGCAAGCATCCTCAGAGGTACCTCACTACCTCTGAGGATGCTTGCCATAGATGCAGGCGAAACGTCAGGAGAAATGCCTCTAGAACATGGCCCTATAGCCCGAAAAAACCCACAAGAACCTAGTGATTCCAGCCATGAAAGCCTTCGACAATACTCCTTAAAATACATATTAAAATACACAAAACAAAAAATTAGGCATATCTGAAGGGATGTCATATAGAAGATGGTGCTGGCTTGTTTCCTGTTACTCCCAAGACTAGAAAATGAACCAATGGATTCAAAATACAAGAAAAGAGATCTCTCTTCAATATGAGGGAAAACTTTTTTTTTACTGTAAATGTTGTTCAACGGTGGAACAAACCGCATTGTAGGGTGGTGGGCTTTCCATTTTTTGAGATCTAAGCATAGATTGGATGGGTATCTTTTAGGAATTCTAGAACTGCGTATTCCTATATGGAATGCAGTTGAACTTGATGGCCTTTGAGGCCAAATGCAACTCTTAAGATTATGTGGTGTTATGATTCGATGATTCCAGCATCTTGTGTGTTTCATTGGGCATTCCCTGATTTTTGTTTTCTTTTGTTTTCTCTCCCAAATCCAGCCCTGTGAGGACCACGGCTTCTTTAGCATCCTACTGGATGCTTCTTTACCTGAGCTGTTGTGAAGAGAGTTTCCAGACCGTGAGAAAGAAGGAAGACTTCTCGACCGGAGCGGACATTGGTGATGTGCTTGAGGCAAAGCAGGAGACCCCTCCGGATGTGAACATAATGGTTGGAAGTATCATGGCGATGCCAATCCTGGTACAACCGCAGCAGCTGGCAAACATAGCCTCTGTTGACCGCTCGGCGACTGTTGGACTCTGAAAGGAAAGTACAAAGGAAAAATTATCAGCTGCTAGAAAAGTCTTTGTGTTGGTATACTTCTTTCTGGGTACATTTTTGTACACTAGCATAAACATGCTCAGTTGCAAATCTATGGACCATAATGATATGAAAATCTATGAAAGGAATTTTGATTTTCCTTTTCTATTTCTCAATGGAAACACATTGCCCAAATCAAAACTGACTGAGTTCTGTATCAGGTTCCCTCTGCCGTTTGTATACTCTAATCTGAATGCTTAAATTCAGCAGACTGACCTTTTACTAAGAGAAGGAAGTAAAGGTAAAGGTTTCCCCTGACATTAAGTCTAGTTGTGTCCGACTCTGCGGGGTGATGCTCATCTCCATTTATAAGCCAAAGAGCCACCTTTGTCCGGAGACACCTCCAAGGTCATGTGGCCAGCATGACTGCATGGAGCACTGTTACCTTCCTGCAGAAGCGGTGCTCACATTTGCATGTTTTTGAACTGCTAGGTTAGCAGAAGCTGGGGCTAACAGTGGGACCTCACCTCACTCCCCAAATTTGAACCGTCAGCACGTTCAGCAGCACGTTCAGCAGCAATATAACTGGAACATGTTGCTCCTTTTTGTTAGAAAATTTCCAATGAAGTTGATAAGTTACTGAGTGTTCATTACCTGAAATCACACTCTTCCTATGGATTTTGTAAACATGGGGCTACCTAAATGTTTAGTCATCCTTTCGAAGTCATATTTTCATGGTTTCAACTAATATTTTGCTTGCAGTGCCACAATTAATGGTGGTTCTTGTGGGTTTTTTCAGGCTATAGAGCCATGTTCTAGAGGCATTTCTCCTGACGTTTCGCCTGCATCTATGGCAAGCATCCTCAGAGGTAGTGAGGTCTGTTGGAATTAGGACAATGGGTTTATATATCTGTGGAATGTCTGGGGTGGGGCAAAGAGCTCTTCTCTGCTGGAGCTAGGTGTGAATGTTTCAGCTGATCACCTTCATTAGCATTTGAAGGCCTGCCTGAGCCTGGGAAAATCTCTTGCTGGGAGGTGTTAATCTGTGCCTGGTTGTTTCCTCCTCTGTTGTTTTGCTGTTGTAATTTTAGAGTTTTTTAATACTGGTAGCCAGATTTTGTTCATTTTCATGGACAACCAGGCACAGATTAACACCTCCCAGCAAGAGATTTTCCCAGGCTCAGGCAGGCCTTCAAATGCTAATGAAGGTGATCAGCTAAACATTCACACCTAACTGCAGCAGGGAAGAGCTCCTTGACCCACCCCAGCCATTCCACAGATATATAAACCCATTGTCCTAATTCCAACAGACCTCACTACCTCTGAGGATGCTTGCCATAGATGCAGGCGAAACATCAGGAGAAATGCCTCTAGAACATGGCTCTATAGCCCGAAAAAAACCCACAAGAACCTAGTGATTCCAGCCATGAAAGCCTTCGACAATACAATTAATGGTGGGTTTTCTACCTATACAGCTGTACAAATACTTAATTGCTGTTGTGCATCTATGCATGGATCAAGGCTGCAATGTATCACGGTACTACGTATGTATGTGTCTTTGCTTCCCAATCTGCAGCTGCGGCCTGGGATGGACCCGGCTCTGCCCCTGTGGATGCCAAGGCAGGACTGCCAGCCTCTTCTAGCTCCAACCACAGTTCATCCTCTCTCTGCCAGTCCCCTTCATCTGAGGACCCTTCCTCCAAATTCAAGGAGACATTCATTCCTGAAGGCAATTCTGAAAATGCTATTCCCCAAATAGTTCCCTGAGCTTTAAGTCTAGAACTTATTGGCCGAAATCCCAAAGTACGGACTCAGCTGGAATTCTAAAACAAGTCAAACCAAGAAGAAGAATGGGCTCACTCACAAAAGTTGACAAAGGGTGACAATGTTTTGGTAACAGAAGAGGGAATACACCTTGCTCCAGTTCCCAGGTGTTGACTCCAACAAGTCTGCCAGTTGATGCCCAAAAGGCAGATTCGCATCTTTTGAATTTCCCTTTATTTAGTTGTTCAACCTGCCAATACGCCCACTCGAAGCGCCACTCTGCCTGCCTTGGCAAGGGAAGAGTGTGCGCATGCATGTGTCCCAATTAGGACAAGTGACTTGGTAAAAGGAAATACAAGGACATTTTAAGCAAGGCGGAAATGTTGTTTTGATTGACTACATCAATAGTGATTTGGTCTGACATTTTCAATTTGACACCTCTTTCTTGCCATGGTAATTGTGATTTGGAGTTCTTTTTCTATTTTGAAGTGTCAATGCATCTCACTCCAGGAGGAAGAAAAAAGGAAAACAGTAACAAAAATATGTTATTTCCATGCCAACATCCCAAACAAACCTCAGTGCAGCAATGCACATGAGCAAAGGAAGCAAAGAGTCAGAAGATACCTGCCCTATAGTCAGTTAGTTCACCTTATTACGGTCAATGACCAGATTGAGAGAAGAGGGACACAGTCCCACCTGGCCTATAGATCTAACGCTATTCCCAAATGGTTAGTTATATTCCTCTGTTACAACAAGAATACAACATTCTGTGACACCTTAAACACATGTCTTTAACATGCCACCATTCCTTGCAAAGAAAGAAGGAGTCACTGTTGGCGATCCTTCATTGTCCGAGTAGGATAGACTTCCAAGACTGTGGAGCCCTATCCTTGATCTGCATCTTTCCATTGGTTTCCAGGTGGAAGGCGGTTCCGGTCGGGGTTGGCTTGAGCGCCTTCCTCCTGGCACGTTTCTCTCTTTCACCCTCCACTCATGCCTCCTCGAATTCTGCAGCACTGCTGGTCACAGCTGACCTCCAGCTGGAGCGCTCAAGGGCCAGGGCTTCCCAGTTCTCAGTGTCTATGCCAGAGATTTTAAGGTTGGCTTTGAGCCCATCTTTAAATCTCTTTTCCTGTCCACCAACACTCCGTTTTCCGTTCTTGAGTTCGGAGTAGAGCAACTGCTTTGGGAGACGGTGGTCGGGCATCCGGACAACGTGGCCGGTCCAGCGGAGTTGATGGCGGAGGACCATCGCTTCAATGCTGGTGGTCTTTGCTTCTTCCAGCATGCTGACATTTCCCCGCTTTTCTTCCCAAGAGATTTGCAGGATTTTCCAGAGGCAGTGCTGATGGAATCGTTCCAGGAGTTGCATGTGATGTCTGTAGACAGTCCACATCTCACAGGCGTATGCAGGGTTGGGAGGACAATAGCTTTATAAACAAGCACCTTGGTATCCCTACAGATTTCCCAGTGCTCAAACACTCTCTGCTTCATTCGGAAAAATGCTGCACTCGCAGAGCTCAGGCGGTGTTGTATTTCAGTGTCAATGTTGACTTTTGTGGAGAGGTGGCTGCCAAGGGAGCGGAAATGGTCCACATTAAGCTGTATTTCTGGCATTGGAGAGGGATTGGCTGGTGACTGCTGGAAGAGCACTTTGGTTTTCTTGATGTTCAATGACAGGCCAAGCTTCTCGTATGCTTCTGTGAAGGTGTTTAGAGTGGCTTGTAGGTCTTCTTCTGAATGCGCACAAATGACGTTGTCATCAGTATTTTACTATCCAGTACTTTACCAACAATCTAACTTGGTCTAGTGTAACGGATGGTTTCTGAAGTCTACTCAGAAAATCAGTCTAAAGTTCAGCTGCTAAACTGTCGATGTCAGATTGTAGAATACAGGGACCCTTAAAGAGCTAGCTCACAGTTATGTCCAAAGCTATCTATGTCTTGAGGAGGTAGATCCAGGGAACCCAGGCCAGGTACATAGCAGGACTCATGGACCTCTTGGAGGAAAGTGTCCTCTCCTGTGCTTGGAGTTGGGCTCAAGGCCTATCGCTATTAGTCTGGCCTCATGGGTCTTAGGCACAAAGGTGGAATTCCTTTTAGGTTCAGGAATCTCAGGTTCTCTAGTGATGCTTGAACATGTTGTCCTATCTGGTTGTTCAATTACTTCTCCAGCCTCCAAATCTATTTGTATGGCACTGTTGGACTTGTGGGTCATAATATGGCATATCTCAATCCTTTCTGAAGGAAACAATTGGCATTGAGACCATTTTGCAAGGCAATCTCTACCCTTAGAGATAATGGACTCCTTCAGGCCCAGCACAAGGACCACAGAGTTCAAAATTTAAGATGACAAGGTCAAAATGCAGGGAGGCAATTCAAAACCCTAAAAGGAAGGAGATGGATGTCCAAGGAGTTCAGGTTCCAAGGAGCGAGAAGAAGGCTTGATTCACACTGTACAGGAGTGGTTCCCAACACGTGGGCCACAAGTGGGCTGCGAGACCTAAAATAAGGTCTGCAAGCAGGAGAGAAGGAAGGAAGGAAGGAAGGAAGGAAGGAAGGAAGGAAGGAAGGAAGGAAGGAAGGAAGGAAGGAAGGAAGGAAGGAGGCGCCCTTGTCCTCACCAGCATCTTCTCAGCTGATGGAGAAGACTCACCCAGCGGCACAAACAAGCGGGTGAGAGAGGGAAGGAGAGGGAGAGGAAGGCAGGCAGGCAGGCTGTTGGACCCGTTAGCGCTTTCTCCGCCTTGGAAGATTTCCCAGGAGAGGAAAGAGGAGGGAGAGGAGAGTCCTCCAAAGTTGTTGTTGTTAGCTCCCATGGCCAAAAACAAGTTGGAATGGGAAAGCAGCCTTTGTAAGACTCTGTTTACTCCCCCAAAGTTGTTGTTGTTGTTGTTAGAGCCATTAGGGACACTAGGTTCTTGTGGGGTTTTTTGGGCTATAGGGCCATGTTCTAGAGCAGTGGTTCTCAACCTGTGGGTCCCCAGGTGTTTTGGCCTACAACTCCCAGAAATCCCAGCCAGTTTACCAGCTGTTAGGATTTCTGGGAGTTGAAGGCCAAAACATCTGGGGACCCACAGGTTGAGAACCACTGTTCTAGAGGCATTCTCTCCTGACGTTTCGCCTGCATCTATGGCAAGCATCCTCAGAGGTAGTGAGGTCTGTTGGAACCAGGAAAAAGGGTTTAGAGAAGAATTAACAGACCTCACTACCTCTGAGGATGCTTGCCATAGATG